TTAATATACCCTTGAGGCAGGACAGTAAAGGTATACTGTTGACCTTGCCAGCTGAAAGAAAATTGCTACTGGTGGTCCTTATGAACCAGTATCGAGAAGAAAGCATTTGCCAAATCAATAGCTGCATACCAGGTACCTGGAGATGTATTAATCTGCTTGAGTAAGGAAACCACATCTGGTACAGCAGCTGCCATTGGAGTCACTACTTGATTAAATTTTCAATAGTCAACTGTCATTCTCCATGACCCATCTGTCTTCTGCACAGACAAAATAGGAGAGTTAAAGGGAGATGTGGTGGGAATCACCACCCCTGCATCTTTCAAATCCTTGATGGTAGCATTAATTTCTGCATTCCCTTCAGGGATGCGATATTGGTTTTGGTTCACTATTTTCCCTGGAAGAGGCAATTCCAGTGGTTTCCATTTGGCCTTTCCAACCATAATAGCCCTCACTCCACAGGTCAGGGAACCAATGTGGGGATTCTGCCAATTCCTAAGTGTATCTATCCCAATTATACATTCTGGTAGGATGAGTTTGGAGACCCACTGGATCTACTGTCAGTTGGACTTCAGCCAAAACTCCATTTATCAACCTGACCTCCATAAGCCCCTACTTTAACTAGAGGGCCACAATGCTTTGTAGGATCTCCTGGAATCAGTGTCAACTCAGAACCAGTATCCAATAGGCCCAGAATGTCTGATTATTTCCTTTCTCCCAGTGTACAGTTACTCTAGTAAAAGGCCACAGGTCCCTCTGGGGAAGGATGGGTGAGAGGCAAACAGCATAACTCTTTGGTACTGTGACAAAGTCCTTCCTCAAGGGCACCCGGCCTTCCCTTCATTCAAGGGGTTCTGGGTCTGTAAACTGCCTTAAGTCTGGAAATTGGTTGACTGAGTGAGATTCTTTACTGCTACGATCCAATACTGACTTCCTGCCATTCGTCCTAGAGCTTTTCTGCTTATACAGATGAAATAAAAACTTAGTAGGCTTCTTATGTATGTGGTCCCTGGAAACACCACGATTGACTAGCCAGTACCACAGGTCCATTGGAGTCATGCCATTGTAGGTATTGTTTTGCCTTTGCCGCCCATTTCAATAAGTATGCTTATCTTGTCTTTGGTAATTAAATACTGCCACCTGACTCCTACCCCTAGGTCCTGTTACACCTATTGTATTTATATTTTATTTATGCAATTGAGCAGCAGCATCTCCAACTGTAAGATTCGGCATAAGGAAAAGAGCAAAAACAAACTCTTCAAGTGTTCTGGTGTCTCTCTCAGTACTTTCCATCTTATAAAATCAGTAAAAGGTATGTCCTCTGGGCCCTCCCATTGTGGAGGATTTGGTGTTGCACTGCAAATCCACTCCAGCATACCAATTTGCCTGAGCCTTACAATCCCTTCATCAACCCTAAGCCAAGTGATATCAGGTATCACCAGCACTCTGTCAGTAGACCATCTTTTGATAACTACCTCAGCCAACCAATCAAATAAACTTTTAACA